CGCACCCCCCACCCCCGCGCAGGACCCGCCCCCTCGCGCCGCCGACGTGCGCGTCCGTTGGCTGGAGACACCGGCCCCGCCCCGCAACCCGCCGCACTGCGGCTGCTCATTGGTTCGTTTGGACTCGGGCGGGCGCCTGAGCGAGGATTGGTTCCCTCTTGGCCGTGCCCCGTAGGCTAATAAGGCTTTCTCATTTGCTCTCGGGTGCGCCCGTCTCCGGGAGGGGGCGGGACGAGCGCCTGGGGGCGAGGCCGGGGCGTTGACCTCCAAGGGGTTTGGTCTTAGGGGTCCGGGACTCGAGCGCCAACTGCCAGCTCGCAGGGCACGCGCAGTGAACACGGCTCTCAAGGGTCGCGATTGCGGCTCGGGGAGTAGGGAGAGGGGGCGGGCCCTTGTGGGCGCTTTCGCTGAGCCCCTCCCCAACGCCACCTTGGGAACGAGGTCAAGGGTCAAAAAGTAGCTCAAAGTGGACAGTTCATAGCAAAAGTTGACAACATATTTAAAATAGCTGTTTCCGCCCTAACCTTTGTTTCCCGCCTTTCTGCTCCTTAAAGCAGACGCTCCCGGCGACCCCGTTGTGTCAGAGCAAAGCTGGGTGTGGAGGGAGGAGGGCAGTCCCTGGCTAGCTTTCCCAGGTCTAGAGTGGACATGAACGTGGTTACCACCTCCTGGGTCCCGGCTGCTCCTAGTGCTGGGTGAGTATTAAGTAGCTCAGACTTCCAGCAAGCAGACACTCACTAAACAAAAACTGAATCCAGGCGCAGAATTCCTCAGAATGGAGTGCAGACCACCCATGGAAACAACTGGAACCGAGAAGGGCTGCTGCTCCCTCAACACGCAGGGTGGCTTTCTCACGGTTCTGACAACCGGAAGCGGGGAATCCAGGTGTGGGCGGGGAAACCCTCTACCTGGCCTGAGGCAGGATCTGCCCCAGCCCTGGCAGGCCAGCAGGAGCATTTCTGAAGATCGGAGGCTCTCACCCTTTCTGATTGTAGGACAGAGTAGAACTGCCCCTACGGGTTTCGAGGCTGTCCATTGCTACAGGAGCAGACAGCTTAGACTGCTTTGTACCTTACCGGGATGAGGCACAATTAGCGCGGGACTCCAGTCTCACCCTGAGGGCCCACGAAGGTGTGGTCTGCGTCCCAGTACAGAGGCATCCCTGTCCCCTGTCGAAGCTCTCTCTTTCACTCGGCCATGGCCTCGAAGAGCTCTGGTTCTGGGAACTGCAGCCAGCAGCCTGTCCTCTGACCTGTGGGTCTGGCCTGCCCTGAGGAGAGGGCTCCACCCCGAGGCCTGGCTCCTGGCTTTGGGGCTTGCCCATCTCCACCACCAGGTGACCCATTTCCTTGGTGATTTGAGAGCCACCCGAGCCAGTGCACCAAGTGTGGGAACCTGAACACAGGAGAAGGGGGTGCTGTGTGAGGGCCAGGCACTGGGCTGACTGCCAGCCTCTAGGGCGGTGGTTTCTGCCACTTTTCCTGATGGGTTCCTCTGGGCAGCCTCCGCCCTCTCCTGGTGCTAGGTGATAGGGAGCCTGACACCCCAGAGCCTGGCACAAAGCCAGGGTCTTCACAAGTGCCCTGTCCAAATCTACCACCTGGTCCTCAGTGTCCACGTCTGTAAAATGAGTCAGCCTCCACGGCCCAGACTTTCCTGCTGTGTGGGCTGGGGAGCCTACCGCACATTTCCCTGTCTCCTGCTGCTGCTGCTGCTCTTGACCCTCACCCCTACCCACGAGGCCTCTCCCCCTCGCAGCCTCTTCACCCTTTAAGCCTCTCCATGTGGCCATGCTGCAAATACTTAGTAGCCCCTGTGGTCAGTGACTGGACACAGCAGCTATCTGGGCCAACCGAACCTGGCCCCAGGGGGCAGCAGCTGTCCAGGGCAGGAGGCTGGACAACCACGGCTGAAGAAATGCATGGGGACCATTGCCAAAGGACCAGGGTGGAGGTGGGAGTCAGATTAGGGTGAAGGGTAGATCTTTATAGGAAATGGGCAGGGAGGTCTCCTGGCGGAGGTGGGCTTGCACATGACCTTCAAGAACTCCTCCGAGGTGACCAGTATGCCCCCTGACTCACCTCGAGGGAGTGTGGAAGTTGAGAGGATTTCATAGTGGGCGGGCCGGGCCAGAGAAGATCAAAGCGAGCGTGATGGTGGGGTGAGAGAGAGAGGAAGCCAGGACCAGCTCCAGCCGGGCGCGGCTGCCGGCTCCATGGGTGGATCACCGCCCTCACCTCTGAAGGGCACCAGGCTGGACAGCATCCAAGGCCTGTGGGTTCCTGCTTCCAGGCATCCGCAGGACAGTTGGAATTCCTCACCAGCACCAAGCCCAGAGGCTGCAGTTCCTCACGGTCTCCCGTATGCATATCCCAGCTTGCCTGCTCTTGAAAGCATCTTGGCTTGGACGGGGCCACCTTCTTGTCCTCACAGTGGCGTCTGGAGGAGGAAGGTCACTCAGAGGCCGCGGGCCAGGTTTGCCAGGACCGAATGTAGAGGCAGCCAACACCGGGCCTGACAGGAAAGGTGGTGGGTGCAGTCCAGTGGCTCTGACCCATGGCAGCCCCGTTTTGTTAAACTGGGCTCCCTAGACAGGGACAGCCAAGGACACCTAGCTGTCCCTCAAACTCCCTGCCTTGGGGTCAATCATGTTGACTCACTGCGCCCTCTGTGGGTCTCTGAGACTAACTGTTTACCTAAAACCCAGTCTTTCTGCCCCCGAGCTGTTGGTGCTTATGAACTGCTGCCCCTGCAGACCAGCCGGTCACCTTTACACCGCCATGGCTCCTGACTTAGATGAGAGAATCTCATATCAAGAAAATGACTCAGCCTGTGGGAGAAGCTAGTAAGTCCAGGCTGGTTTCAAGCTGTGGGTCCAATGTGAAGCCGGAGACTTCTCCTGACGTGAGTAGTTTGGGGGCTGATGTGCCCATATAATCGGTGAGTGCACCACAGACTGCAGAGAGGAATGAATTCAAGGTCAGCAGGCCAGGCTGTCGATGGCTCTCGGGATCAGCAGGCATTAGGGCAGCCTGTCTGCTCAGGTCCAGAGAACCACAGGTGCATGCACCAGGTGCAAGACCCAGGCCCAGCAAAGGGCGAAGCAAGCTTCTCCACACTGTCCGTTTAGGTGGGAAGGAAACTACAGACCCATGAGACTGTGATCTGCATAAGGGACTCAACCCCATTCCAGTCCCCGCTCCGCCCGCCTGGCCGTTCCCGGCAGATTCCATCATGGAGCTGATTGCCTTGTGTCGGGTCACATGGGGGAGGGGGCCTTCATGGCAAATCCACCCAGCATCCTGGCCCAGCCAGCCAAGTGCACACACAGTGTCACTCTTCATGACTGGCTGCAGATGGAACCATGTGGTCTCAGGAGGCTCGCTGGCTGGTTTTCAAAACTCCTTTGCCAAGTTTTCCTCCTAGTCCACCTCACTCGAAGCAGCACAAATCATTTCTTTTCCGGAGATCAGCACCAGGCTGGTCCCTGTGAGGCAGAGGTCAGAGAGGTCCCAAACGTCTGACTTTCCCCAATGGCTATGCCCCCCCAAACATCTCTGATGGCAACTCCTTGTCCTGCAGTATCTGAACAAATAGACTAGCTAATCATGAGAAGGAGGGGAATAAGTTCACTTTGAGCATTGTGCTCTCTTTTTTTAAACCGTTTTATTGGCATATACATCACACATCATGCAATTCAATAGCTCAACCATATCCAGAAGAGTTGCGCAATCATCACCACAATCAATTGGAGAACATTTTCTTCTTTCTGGTATGCACTGTGTTCAGCTCCCCGTATCCCCCAGTCTCTTCCATCATATCCCCAAGACACCAGTAATCCAGTTACTGTATAAGATTTACCTGTCCTGGATTGCATATGCAGATAAACATTTAAAACAAACAAAATTAGTAAGTCAATAAATAATAACAAAGTACAGTAGATAAAAACCTCAATCAAATCGAGAGAGGATATTAAAAACTAGAACAAATGTACAATGGATCATAAGGGAGAGCGAATGATAAGGAGTTGTGAACTGCATCTGCAACAATTCACTTTCCGATGCATGGCTGTTCACATCATTCATCCACGAGAGGAGCATCCGGATTCACCTCAGGCTTAATTTATATGAATTTCTCCTTCACTTTTTTTTTTTAACTGAAACAACTTTACAATGAGTCAAAAGGGAGATCAAATGATAAGATACAACATTGTAACTTAGCTAAATCTGCCATAATTGACCTTACTATTTGATAACAGGATGATCCACACTTCTTCGATTATGGTCAGAGCAATGTCCCCAGAGGCTCAAGCCAC